AAGTGTGTATGGGAGGAAGCATTACAGAACTAGAGGAAAGTTGTATGTTTCAAAGGTGCTATACTGCACCCTAACTGCCTCATCTCTTCCTTGTGACCTTTCTGTAAGGAGATATCCAGTTGCCTGCAGATGGGCTTTGGGTCCCCACTCTGAACTCCCCCTCATTCACAATGATATGATTTTTTTGTTCTGGGTCTTTGATGCCTGATACCCGATCCCATCGACACCTCATGATCACACAGGTTGGTGTGCTTCTTTCATATGGACTTTGTTGCTTCTTAGCTAGATGGCCGCTTGTTTATCTTCAAGCCTTTAAGACCCCAGACACGTTATCTTTTGATAGCTAGGCACCATCAGCTTTCTTCACCACATTTGCTTATGCACCCGCTTTGTCTTTAGCGATCATGTAGGGAAAGTGAGCATCATGGAATGCCAGGTTATTAGAACTAAGTGTTCTTGCATTGAGGGAACACTTGAGTAAAAGTCCAATGTCTGTCTGGTACCTTGATACTTAACATATAAATATAGGCACATTGATCTATTTCCCTATCATTATATATAAATATATTTACATAAGTACATGCCTGTATTTAGACCTCTATAAATGCCCTTTGTCTCCTAGTTCTTTCCTTTCTTTCCTTTTACTTTCCTCTTGTTCCACTATCATGTTTAGCCTTCATTTGGGTTTCAGTAATTCCTCTCGGTTACATTGCCCTACCAGGCCTCCTATACCCTCTTCACCATCAATTTTGGGTCACTTGTTGCTCCCTTGTCCTTGGACTTGTTAACACCACTTTGTTTCCCCAGCCTCCCCTTCTGCCATGTCCTCCCCCCACAACCATCAGTCCCATTGTTTTCTCCTCCAGATTGTTTATCCCACCCATCTTATCTAGATAGACATGCTGAAATAATAATATGCACAAAAACAAGACAGCAAAACAAAGCAACAAAAGGAAATAAATCAGCAACAATAAAAAAACCAATAACAACAAAAAAGAAAAGCCTGTAAATTGTTCAAGGTCTGTTTGTTGACCTTTAGGTGTGTTTTCTGGTCGAGTCTGATAGGGTGCCTCGCCCTGGCCCCAAAGTCTATTTTTGGTATTCCCTGGGGACGTCATTGCTCTCTTCCCCTTGCTGTTCTGCTGCATGCCCTCAGTGTTTTGCCTCGGTGCGGTGGGGTCAGATCAGGCACAATTCCCACACTGTGTCTCCAGTGTTGTCCCTCATAGCGAGATGGGTCAGTGCGGGATGTCTTGTCTTGCGGTGGGGCCGGCCCTATGGTCCTCTCTGTGCATTGGCTGCTCTGAGCAGGAATATCGTCATCAAGGCTTGGTGGGCCAGGATGTGCTCCACTCTCTCTTGTTCCCCCTTCATTTACTCCCATGTGCTCTAATCAGACATGTCCCTCTCCCTGAACTGTAGTTTCAGTGTTGTCCTCTGAAGTGAATTTTTCTGGGGGGAGAGTGTACCTTCATGATTAATTGTACCCACATTTTTTTTATTTAAATGATTTTATAGGACACAATCCAGACATCATATCATTCAATAGTTCAGTCATATCAAGAATTGTTACACAATCACTACCACAAGTAGGTCCAAAGCATTTTCTTCCCTCCTATACTCCCTGGTATTAGCACCCAAGATATTTTTCACAGGGCTTCCAAAGTTGAGGATTCACATTTCTACTTGTGATGCAGTGGATTGAATAATTAAAGAACTCTCACCAAATGATTGAGTATAACTATGCAAATGTAAGGAGCTGGTGTTCAAACAAGGGGATTGGCTAGCTTGCTGCTAATGTAAATAAGATGCACGGCATCCTTATGGAGGTGGGGCCATGCAAATAAGGTGTATGGACCCGTAACATAGAGATTGGTCAGTGTTGACACCCAGGTAAGCTTAAAATCAGCCTTCCCACCAGGAGAAATGATGATCTTAGCACCACCAGAGTAAAGTTAAGCGGAAGCGGGGCATGTCCTTTGGACCCAGGATTCCTGTTGGGAACTCACTGACCCGAGGGACAGAGAGTTGTAACACCAGAGAGTAGGTAAGAAGTGGTAGTAAAGAAGCAGAAGTAGTAGAACAAGGAGAATAGCAGGAGATGGCAGTTTTCCAGATTCATGGGCCGAGACTGCTTTTGAGCAGGAGGCTTGCTGGCAGAGTGGAATGTCTGTGGATACTTGATGGAGCTAAGTTTTGTGATCTACAGAGCTACAGCCACGTGCCTTTGAGGCTTACAGGTGGAGTGGGGTGCCTCCGGTCACTTATTGGCAGAGTTAAAGGAACTTTGTAATACTTGCCTGAGCAAAGCAGAAGGCCAAGGGCAGAGAGACTATAGAGCCCAAGAGAGAAATGCTGCCTGTGGGCAGTATTGAGAAGAAGCTGTCCTGATTGAATAACTGTATCCCAAGTTAAATTGCTAGTGAACCCCTTAGAATCACAGGTGTGGTCATTGCAACATGATATCAAACTCAGGAGAGAAGTAGAGGATGCTTCAGGAGGGCAGGTTGGTGTCAGAATTGGTCAGGTTTGAGGGTGGAGGCATGTCTGTCTGACCTCTATCTCATAGAAATAAGCCTTAGGTTATTGATGCAGATCTCCTCCCCATTTGTGCAACCAGAGGAAATTGGACCCACTGTCAAGCCATTTTTACCTCACCCCTGATACACTGAATCAGAGCCTACCTGCATTGTAACAACATCCCCCAGGTGCTTCTCATTTCTTAGACATACAGCTGGAGAGCTATAAGCATCACCTGGGATCCTGTTAAGTTGCATACTGATTCATTCCATCTGGACGGAAAGGTTTGCACTGGAATGAACCAGCTTAGAGCCCTGACTTTTAAAATATCATTTATTATGCGTATTATATTGTTATGATACATTTTCAAAGTTTAAAGAAAAGATAACTCATCCATAGTTCCGTACTCAGTAATACCTACTCCTGTTAGGTGAAACTATGGCACAGTGAAGTTAACGGAATAGGACATGCACTATGCATATCCATATACATGTGTGTTGTACTCTGCATTCAAACACCAATCATTTTCCCACTTACCATTATAGCACTGATCTGTTTCTATAAACGAAGCTGTGGGGGCTTAGTGGTTAGAGAGCTTGACTGTAAACCCAGAGATTGGGAGTTTGCATCTACTTTCCACTCTGGAGACAAAGATACGGCGGTCTGCTTCAGTCAAGATTTACAGCCTTAGAAATCCTATGGGGGCAGTTCTGGTTTATGGGGGTGCTATGAGTCAGAATCAGATAGCAATGTGTTAATTTCTGGTATTTCCATATTAATTCTTCAGGAGGCTTTTTAATGACTATCATTCTATCTCATGTTTTTCGAATGTCTGACGTTACTTTCAAGTCTTTGCTACTATAAGTAACATTAATTATCCTTGCTTGGAAATATTTGAACTTGGCTCTAACCCAAACTAAGACTCCGGTTGCTTTTAAGATGCTGATAAAGCTCTCACTGAACCTTTGTCGCCATCCGCTCTGCAAACATACTTGATTGTGGGCTTGCTGGCAGAGCATCCGTTTACCACACCTTCTCCATGAATGCAGGTGGATTTTCAAAACAATACTGCTACTTCATAGTGAGAGAAGGCTCGTTGTTTTCATTGGCTTGAGGTCGGGCACACACACTCCTGCTGGCAGACCCATAATCTTCACGAGAGAGAGCTTCTTGGCACTCATGCTTCGTACCCATCAATAACGACAACTTTGGTTTCCGTGAATGCAGTGAAGGCTTTCCATGACTGACCCAACTGGCGTTTCCAGAAGGGTACGAACTCCTGAGTCCGTCAAACTCCAGCACCCAGTCAGTTCTGACGCAGCGCCCCCTTGTAAAACAGGATGGAACTGCGCCCGTCCCGTGGGTTTCTGAGACCCCACTCTTGCCTGCAGTAGAAAGCCTCATCTTTCTTCCCTCAGAGTGGTTCATGGTTTTGAACTGCTGACCCTGTGTTTACCGGCCCAACACATAACCCACTGTGCCACCAAGCCTCCTTTTAGAATCCATAAGGGAACATTTTTAAATGAAGGAAACTAAGAGTAAAGGCACAGGCTTCTTTGAAAGGCCAATTCAGAGCCCAGCGGTTGAGCCTTGGGTCACCCTGACGGGCGTGACCACATAGCTGCCAGTTTCAGCTTGCTGGGCAGTGCAGCCTGGTGGGTAAACCCTCACAGTAACTGTCAGTCGGGATAGCAATTACCCCCCCACCCACACACACACCCTGTTGTTCCCCCAAGTATTGGTTGCTACTGTCTCTCTCTCTTTCTCTCTCTCTCTCTCTCTCTCTCTCTCTCTCTCTCTCTCTCCCAATTGCAAGGTAGATTAGATACATATCGGAAAATGGTGTGTAGTATCGCACTTTGAAGCACCAGAACTTTTCCAGTTCCAACAAGTTGCATATTGTACTTCATTTTAATATTTCAGCTTTGGGACTTGGTAGAAGCCAACGCAGCAGGGCCTTTGTCAGTGGGGGACATCGGGCAGAGAGACCCTTGGCTGTACGCATGGAGTTCTCAGAGTGGCTCAGTGTCCTGCAGGACACATGCTGATGTGTGGGGCTCGGGTTTCTAGAAAGTGGCCCCGGAACTGATAGACCCCTCTGCCTTGTCTCCTCCCCTCCACCCCACAGGGTAAAAGAAAGAGCACAACTCCAGTGGTGCCACTAAATTAGGCCATGTTGTCACTTCAGGTCATTATAAGAATGTGTCTTTCCGCCTTGTGCTGTGTGTCCGTTAGGGAGTTACAACATTCTCCTTCAAAGATTTTCTTTGGCTACAAATTCCATTCTTGAGTACATTGCCCTTTTGAGACTGAAAAAAAAATTAGGCTGCGCATTTTCAGTTGTTTTTACAGTGTCGCTTCCACATGTGACTAGTGCACATTCTTGAGGCGGCTCGGCAGGTTGACAGCCAGTTGAGCTGCAGGGCACCCTGTCTCCCTCTCTGAGTTGCTTTCTCTTTCACATTCGGTGGCGTGCCCAGCTGACAGCCCAGAGGGTGGGTGCCGACCAACCGCGCCTGCAGCAGCGGCTTGGAAGCACAGCACGCTTCAGAAATGTCAGCTCTCCTTCAGGAGCTGCTCCGAGTCTCCGAGAAAGCGGCCCACATCGCCCGAGCATGCAGGCAGCAGGAAGCGCTCTTCCAGCTGCTGATAGAAGAAAAGAAAGAGGGAGAAAAGAACAAGAAGTTCGCCGTCGATTTCAAGACCTTGGCTGATGTCCTGGTACAGGAAGTTGTAAAACAGAATATGGAGAACAAGGTAAGAAGGGTCACAGCCAAGGCCATGGTCAAATATTTGCCCCGGTGGTTTTCTTGCCCTCGCCATAGAATAGCACGCCTCTTCCCTGTCCACTCCGAATACTAGCACCTTGGATGAAAATAAATGTTTCAGTTTTGCCCGCCTTGCTTTGATTGTGCTGTTAATGAAATAGCTACTGCAGAAGAAAAAGTACAGACAAGCAAGTAAGGAAAAGCACTCACGATTCTGACACAGATAAACATTTTAGTACAGGCCTTTTATTTGTTCATGCATTTGTCAAAATAGTACACGTTCTCGCTAAAGTAAGCCAAAGGGAGAAAACCACACAACCCCACCACTAGAGAAAACCACAACTATATATAAAGCGTTAGGCTATTTTGCCATCAGTGAGAGTGTGTGTGTGTGTGTGTGTGTGTGTGTATGTGTGTCCCAGAGGATATGTTTCAGAAGAAATGAGCTTACTGCCTTGACTTTTCTGCTTTGTTTGGTGTATTAGATTTCACAGTTTGACTGAGTCATTTATCTAATGGTTACCCTGGTTACAGGCCTGCAGGGCCCTAGAAACATTTTTCAGCCTCCTTTTATTGTGGTAGAAAAACACTGTTTATGACTAAATAGTGATTGGCATTCACTAGCAGACATTTGTAAGTGTTTCTGGTGCCCGGTACTCTTCGAAGGGCTTTGTAGATCTTGTCTGACTCCTGACAATTGGGTACGAATTGGTATCTGGATGGAATGGATGAGAGAACAGTGTGAGGTTCAGAGGTTAACTGACATGCCCAAAGTTACATGGTAAGTAAACGGCAGGGCCAACTTTCAAAGAGGCACACGGACTCTAGTTTCTGTATTTGCAATGCTATATTGCCTGTCATAACCTAATCCCATACTGGAGGTTTGGAGTAGATAGACCTTTATGACCTAAAGCATTACAAAATGTTGCAATAATTTCTAAGAAATTCCCCAAATATTATTGGGAGGTGGAGGTAACATTTTAGGACTATTAAACGGATTTGTGACCAGAGGCAGGAGTGCATACATAGCTCTCTTGAGATCATCTCTATAAACTCCACATTTTTTTCCCACACCCTGCAGAGCCTGGCTGTAGTCAACAAAAGGAAGCAAATTGGTTTTTGTTTGTGACTGATCAAGATAACTGGGTACAAGGGATGGTTGAGCAATTGGCTAAAGAATGTGTCAATGTTAAAAAAAAAAAGTTGAGTTAAATACTTGCCTCAAAGTATAACAAGTTCAGGCAGTTGTTCATGTAGGAGGCATATGTAAAGCAGAAAAATACTTAAAAAACATTTTTTGGCCAGGTAAGAGCACTGTTTCATGACCAGACAGGTGTTAAGTAGTCCGGGGAGATTGAACTTCCAACCTCTGGTGAATTGGAAGTGTCCAGCGCTTGTCTGTCCTGTCCTGCAGAAGAGGAAAGGAAACCAGACCGTGGCTGTGGGCACGAGTCAAGCTGCAGGCCGTCTGAGAAGGACTGAGTTCAAACATCTGAAGCATTTCCTTTTGTTCCCAGAAAGCATCAAGCGTAGAATTCACATATTTGGGGAAAATTCTTTACTAATGAGAAGATTAAGGAGTCCTGGTGACTCAGGCACTAAGCTCTTAGCTGTGGGCTGAACGTTGGTGGTTCAAGCCCAGAAGCTGCTCCGTGGGAGGACACTGTAGCAGGTGGCTTGTGTAAAGATTACAGCCTAGGGAACTCCTACGGAGGGGGGCGGGGAGGGGGTCTGTAGGGCTGCTATGAGTAATAGTGATCGGAAGCAGGACGCATATGAAAAATTCCGGATTATGGGGTGATTCTTGATGCTTCACTCTATTGCTCCATTTATTACTCGGTCAATACTCTCTTTCCCCCTCCTCTGTCATAGTCTCCTAGCCTGAAGGCTAATGACATTCTAACAGGTGACTGACACACACCTGGAGACAATAATGGAATGGAATGTATTTCGATCTCTCTCCTTTTCGTAAAAAGTGATACATTGTCCTGATTATTTAGGGTTGCTATAACAAATGCCTCAAGTGGATGGCGCTAACAAATTTAGTCTCTCCATTTAGGATACTAGACATTCAAATGGATGGTGTCAGCTCAAGGGGAAAGGCGTTCTTTCTGTTGCCCACAGTTTAGGAAGGTTTTTTCTCTTTGGACATCTGTAGGCTTGGCATTCCCTGGAGATCTCCATGTACCTTGGCATCAGTATTCTCTGGATCTGGGAGGTTCCCAGCACGGGGACCTGGGTCCAAAAGGTGCACTTTTTCTCAGCTCTTCTTTCTCGTTGGCAGTAGGGCCCTCTGTCTCTGCTTATTTCTCTACCTTTTTATCTCTTGTAAGATAAAAGGGTCTTATAGACCACACCCCAGGGAAACTCCCTTTACGCAGCATTTGGACCTTAAGCATCTTACAACTGATTGGCTTTTATCACTTAACTGCCAAATCCCATCATTACATAGCTGCCAACCCACTGAGATTCATGGCCCCTGCCAAGTTGACACATTTTTCAGGGGGATACAACTCAATCCATGTGAGCAACCAACTAAAGCTGTTGGACTAAGGTGCTTGTTGAAGAACCAGAATTAAAATTAAACTACCTAAATTGCAAACAAGTCCCTTTTAGAAGGATGACATTTTAATATAAGTACTTACAGGGTTGCTAAGAGTTGAAACCAACTCCATGGTGTTGAGCTGGGGTGTGTGTTTAATGCAAATGGAAAGGAAAACAGAAGGCCTACCATAATCTGAACTTTGTGAGCATTGGGCTGCTAGCCAGAAGGTCAGCAGTTCGAGCTCGCAGCTGCTTTGCAGGAGAAAACTTGGCTGTAGAGATTGATGGCTTTGGGAACACCCCCACCCCCACCCCACCCCGTGGAACACTTTCATTCTGTCCTATGGGGTCACCATGGGTCAAAATTGACTTGATGGGAGTGGGTACAGAGGCAAGAGTGCAAGATGAAGAACACTAGGAAGACTGAGCAATGAATTAGGCTGCTTTTCTTTTAAACTTTAAAACTATTGGCATATAATTCACATATCGTACAAATCAGTAGTTCAATCGGGTAGCTTTTGTATACCTTGATTGGGAACTTGTATGTTTCTGAATTGCATATCTAATTGTGCTATTTAGTTTTGAAATGAGAATGTGTTCAAAACTATATATATATTTTTGTTCATGCTCTGAATCGCTCAGTTTCCAGGCTTAGGGGAAAAAATTTCTGGAGAAGAATCCAATGAATTTACTAATGATTTAGGTAAGTATAAGAATCTTAATATGTGTTTATAACTTAATGATCATATTCTAATCTCCAGTTTATATCCTCAAATAAGGCATGTTTGGTATCCTCCAATGTAAACAACATATTTGAATGTTAAGCTTCATTGATTCTATCAGAATATTGTGGCATTTAAGTAACAGGTGATATCTTAGAATAATTTAGAAGATCCACGTGTAAGCGTATTAAGACAGATCTAAATCTGTAGCATTTGAAGGTACGTCTTTGGCCTTATGGGAAGGTGAAGATGCCCCCAGAAAAATGCACATCACTACAATTGTGCAGTTTCAGGTCCAGGTTTAAGCCACTTGTGTACCCCCTGGGAAATCCATGCACCTTTGCTGAAAGTGGAGTGGAGAGGCCCCGGCCCAGTGATGTCATGTGATCTTGAGCACGACACTGTGCTACTTCTCTGGGCCTCAGAACATTTGCAAAGGGAGTTTGGGCCGATTGCTTTTAGCATCTTTAGATTCATTGATGTGTCTCTGCGCCCCTGTGGTGTTGATAAAAACCCTCAAAAACACTATCTGATTCTTTTCAGAGAAACAAGGTTTTTTTGGTGTTTGTGTAATGGTAGAAAATCAAAGTAATGAACTTTAAAGAGTGTTCACTTGATAGTCAAGCATGTAGAAGCACAATTCAAATAGTTACCCCACCCCACCCCCAGCTTCTGGCTTAACTCTGAAAAATTCTAAGTATCCTTCATTGGCTGTGTTAACTTGTGATTAGCTCTACCAGTCAGAAGAGCGAAATCCCATTTAGACTTCTTAACGTTTAAAAGCAAAACAAATCAAAACTCCTCCGACTCTTAAGAAATCCTGTGTAAAATTCTACATTTGGCTACTTCATAAACAAGTTTAAGCCCTCATGGATCTTGCATGAGAAGGGCAGAAATGCCTCTTATGTGCTTTTTATGTGAAGAGCTGAAAGTTACCCCTTCTCTAAGGAAGGAATGGACTTAGCAGGTTGGAGGAATAGAGAGGCCTGGGGAGTCGTGGACAAGGCCACAGCTTCTTAGTATAAAGTTCTCACAATTAAGAAGTTGGCATTGATAATGAGAAAGAGCTTTGATTTTCCCCTAAGAATGACGACGGGACTCCATTGGAGAGCTTTAAGCAAAGAAATGATATGTGATTTGCTGCTTTGAATGACGTGTTATGACTTGCTGGTCTCCAAGTAGATGCTCAATGGCCATTCGCATTATTATTTCCCAACTTCGACCATTTAAGGAGCCCCAGTGGTCTTTGGTGAGCGTTGGACAGCTTAACAGCAAGGTCAGCATGTCAAACCCAGCAGCGGCTCCTCCGGAGAAGGATGAGGCTGTCTGCTCGTGCAGATGTAGTGCCTTCAAAGCCTGCTGCAGGGGTCCCCAGTCAGAGGAACTGACTTGCTTGCAGCGTGATAATTGTTTCATCCAGTTCTCAAGCTTCAATGAGCATGCGAGTCACCTGGAGACCCAATTAAAATGCCACAGGGTTTAGCAGGAGCATGAGATGCTGAATTTCCTCCGAGATCCAGGCATGGTGGGTGCTATTCGTCCTTGGAATTGTGAGAGCCCTAGAAATAATTTTTTCCTCCATAGTCACTTTTTGTTGCTACTCACGTGTCTCTCCCCTCATCCCCTAGGCTCTTCCCCCCCTTTCTTTTGTTGAATCTGGTCTCCAACCACCTCAAAGATTAAGAACTTGTTTAAAACAGGGCTTCAATTTGATTCATTCCAACATGACCCCCTGCTGAGAATTTGCTTTTCCACCCCAGATATCCTGAAATCAAACGGCATCTTAAAGCCAAAGGTGCTCCATGATATTGCTTTCCTGAGAAAGAAGGCAGCCTTGGCCAAGGAGGTTAGAAGCAGTGTATGATCGATCACATGACCCGTGTTCTTAAGCTAGGCAGCTGTAAGCAGAGCGACTGGGGGATACTGAAAGTTGAATGACGAAAGTAGCAAAGATTCTGGATGGTCTGATCCCTTTCCTTTGGATACAAAATTGTGAGCATGTGGCCATGTAGTCATTTTTCTGGGGAGGAAAAGCCCTTTGCTTCCTGGCACCCACCCCTAGCTATTCAGATTAAGTAAGTGCTTGAGTGGCCACTGGCCTCTGTCTTATCAGGTGATCCTGGTAGTCTGCCAGGTTGAGAACCACTGTTAGGAATCTCTCTCCCATGCCTGATCCAAGTGGAGCCCTAAAGGCATTGTGGGCTAGGCTTTGAGCTGGTGGTTTAAACCCACCTTTCCCTGCAGCAGGAGAGAGATGAGGCGGTCTGCTCACCTGGAGATTCACAGTCTCAGAAACCGTCTTTAAGGGGGCGGCGTTGAGTGGAACTCTACTCAGTGGTGGTGGGTTTCATCGAAATGTACAACTTGTGCTTGCTCTCCATGCCCTGTCTGTCTGTCTCTCCCGCCCCCCTCCCACTGAAATGCAGTGTAATGGCGTTTAGTTTGTCTTTATTCCAGGGGAAAAGATCATTGTGAGACTGTGTTCCACAGAGGCAGAAACGGCTGAGCTTCTCGGCAAAGTTCTGAATGGTAACAAATTAGCATCTGAAGCATTAGCCAATGTCGTTCATCAGGACGTCTCCTTTACCGACCCAATTCTGGACTCACTAAAGATCGATATTCCGCAGGACATTTTGGGAATATGGGTGGATCCCATAGGTAAGTATGAAAAGATTCAAACTCAACTATCGGGTCGAATAAATACAATTCTTAGCACCCCCTCCCCCCAAAAAAAACCCCAAAAATCTGTTTAACTTTCCTAAATTTAAGAAAATTGTTCAAAATGGTAGCCTTGAAGGGTGTGTTAGATGTGTTTATAGATAGATGTATGCACTGTTACATATTTTGAGGGGCTGTCTTCTGTCTCAAACAGCATTCTCTACTTTTTCATCTCGGGTTTTATTCATTGCCGTAGCAACACCGAACTCTCAATATTCATTACTGTAGGGTTTATGACGGCAATTAATAGGTTACAATGCTGGTGAGAAATGCTGAGAATACAGGAATACTCAGACAGGACATGTTCAAAGTTCCTTCCGGGCTGCTAATAAATACACAAAGGGCATGCCACTCCATTGTAAGCCTCAACCCAAAGGCATTCAGCTAGACCTCTGGGGTTCAGCAAGCTTGGCTCCCTGAATTTAGTGCCCAGATGCACCCAACACCACAAGCCAGCCTGCTGCCCTAAAGCACTCGGCTTTATTTGCTCTGCGGACTCTGTGTGGAGTCCCACCACTTGTGCTTTGGGCTCTTGGTCTTGCTGCTCTGCCACTCCATGATGTCAAAGCTGCCCTCTGGATCCAGGATGTTCATGTGCCAGGGATCTCGGAGCCCAGAGGATGTGCTACCCTCCTGGCTCTTGCTGGTAGTAAGATCCACCTACTGTTTCTCAGTGGGCGCCTTTGTACCCGGCAGGATGGCAATGCAGCCTGTTCCCAGTGACTCACAGGTGGACACTACTGGTGTCTTCCCCACCTTATTGCCCAGGCCCTGACTGGAGAAGGTTGTTGAGTGGGAGTTGGAGACTGTGGCTAGAAGAGCCATATTAAATAATTCACTGCCCTGGCGGGGGCCTTCACAACATTTATGGGAAGATGGAATTTGTTCCACAATCCTTTGAAGCCCCCCCTTCGGTATGCACATGTAGACACATGTACATATATGCACAGGCATATAATTAATGTTAAGCTAATCTTTGGAAGATTGTTCAATACAGGGGTTCAAACTCGAATGCTTTCAGGGACCAATCACACTGGTAAAAAGAATGCTGTGATTGCAGGTATATCTACTTTAGGACACATGACATCTAAAGATACTTGGCTTTAGTAGAATAGGGCAGTACTTTTATCCTATAACTATATTAACATACTTTTATGGAAAGTTTAGTCAGAATGATATGGATTACATATGGAAATTAAGACCTATTCTCACAATTAGTATAAACCAATTATGATTTCTGATGAACAGGGCCTCCTGTTTCTTGATTCTATTGTTGATTCCTGCCCCCACTCAACATTTTGACACCTAAGCCTATGTATCTTTAATACACTGCTACCATATATACGTCTTCGGGATAAACCTAGCTCCTCAGCTGCTCTTCCACGGGAACAGCAGTAACAGGACCTGGGGGCCACCAGTATTCTCACTCCTTTTAACTTGAGAGAGGCTAAAACAAAATGAGCCCTTCCACCCCTAAAGGCTTCCTAAGGGGGGGTCTATTCCCTTCCACCCCAGTATAATTCTGATTATAATGGCTCTAAGGAACCCTACCCTGAGGCCATTAACTTCTCGATGCTTCCAACATGTTCTGAATATTTGCATGCTTACTACATGCCATGTGCTATGCTAGGTCCCTGGTAACGCTATGGGTTAGGCGTCAGACTACTCACTCTGAGGTTGGCTGTTCAAACTCACCAGCTCCTCCGAGGAAGAAAGAATAGGTATGTTTCCGTCAAGATTTACAATCTCTGAAGCCCGAAAGGGCAGTTCCTTGTTCCATAGACTTACTGTGAGCTGGGATTGACTCTATGACAGCAGGTTTGTTTGGGGTTTGGTGTGCTAGGTGCTGTTGAAGCTACAGGCAGGTCTGTCCAAGAGTGTTTTTGTATTTTAAACAAAACAGCTTAAAAGTGCCCTACATATAAAACAGTTTGACACAATGAACTGCCGAAGATAAAACTTTATTGGCTACCAAATTAAAAAGAGAGATGATAAACCCAAAACAAAGCCCACTGCCATTAAATGAATTCCAGCTCCTTACAAACCTATAGGCCAGAGCACAATTGCCCCCTGGGGTTTCCAGTGCTGTAAATCTATAGAAGCATACTGCCATCGCTGTTCCCTCCAGAGCATCTGGTGGTTTAGAACTGCCGACCTTTCAGTTAGTAGCCAACTGCTTTACTGCACCCAGCCCCCTTTGAGAAATTATGTGGGGCAGTTTATAGCTGTATTTGTCATCTAAATCTTTTCTTGCATCTGAACAACTTCATTTTTTTTTTTTTTTTAGATTCCACGTACCAATATATAAAAGGCTCTGCAGACATCAAGCCCATCCAAGGCATTTTCCCAAGCGGACTTCAGTGTGTCACCATCTTAATTGGTGTCTATGACATCCAGACAGGCATGCCCCTAATGGGTGTCATTAATCAACCTTTTGTGTCACAAGACCCAACCACCCTCAGGTAAAAGACAAATGTTTTTGTTAAGGGGTTTAGAACTTGTGATCCTTCGATCCATTGTCAGGCTTCTCTCCTACGTAGCCATTCATATGACTCAAATGCCCTGGTTGTTCCTGCTGAGAGGCTGTGTTTGCATTGAAGGTCTTTGTTTTCCATTGTGGATTTGGGAGCATCTTACTTGGCACCAGGTATGTGTCAATAGAAACTTTGGGAATAAACATGGTCTGGGAGAAATCATGGTTTTTACCTTTAGGATATAGATAGAAACCCTGTTCTGTTCCCTAGAATCCACTCCAAACCAGATATGAATAGAGTGGGGGTTGCACTTCCTTACACATGGACCAAAGGTGCCATCATTGTACTGCTGGCTGAGCCTCGGTATGATTTTAAAAGGAAGTTCAGAGCAGAATGTGAAAATTTTCCAATTGTTTGATTGGTAGGTCCGAGGAGGATTTGAATCTGAGCATGGGGTATCTCTAGCTCTCATGCTGTTGGCAGCACTTCTTTTCCTGTCTCCTCTCTCCCCTCCTCCCCCTGAGCTCCTGCATAAAGAACGCCAGGAGGCAGGTGGCCTCTGATCTACAGCTTGTGCTTTGGGGCTGGCTCCAGTCCCTGGCAGAGTCAGGTGGAAACGAACAGTTTTCCTCTTGTGGTTTTTGACTTTGATTGAAATGAGCCTCATTTATATATATAATCACTGTAGTTTTACTGAACTTTAAGGACTTGAATGGACTAAGAATTGAGGGTTTTTTATTTCGGTTATAAATTTGGTGTGCTGCCCCCCCCCCCCACCTCGACACCCCTCCCCCCCTTCTCCATAGAGTTGATTCTGACTCTTAGAGACCACCCCGTGTAGGGCAGGGAAGAACTGCCCTGTGAGTTTCCAAACTTGTTACTTTTATAGGAGTAGAAAGCTCCATCTTTCTCCCTCAGGGTGGTTGGTGGTTTTGAACTGCTTTCCTTTCAGATCACAACCCAATGCGTAACCACTACACCAGCAGGACTCCTAGAAGGCTCACTTATCTTTAAAAGGTTATTAAACTAAAAAGAATTGAGGCTGGATGCAGACTTACTCATTGACCTATCAATGGAGATGGTTCCAAACTAGATACAGTGTCAGAGATCCTCCTGGACATGAACGGCTGGGTTTGAATTCAGATTCTACCATTGATGGACTGAGTGGATGTTGGGCAAGTTATTTACCTTCTCTCTCTAACCTGCGGCTACCTCATGGAATAAATTAACCTAACGCACATAGTAAGTAAGCCCAAAGTAAACTTGCTATCGAGTAGATTCTTGCTATTGAGTAGACTCATAGAAGCCCCTATAGGAGAGAGTCTAACTGTCCCTTTGGGTTTCTGAGGCTGTAAATCGTTACGGAAGAACAGAAAGATTCACCTTCTGAGGGAGCAGCTGGTATGTTCGAACTGCTGACTTTGTGGTTAGCAGCCAAAGGCATAACCCGCTATGCCACCAGGTTTGTCAAATTAAGCAATGATAAAAGATAGATGTTGCTGTTACTATTGTCGAAAACAGTACTACCAATCCACTTTTCTTGGTTTAAGAAGTCAAGTGGAACTACTAAGAAATGAGTTACCATATATTTATATATGATGATGGGGAAATAGATCTATGTGTATATATTTATAGGTTTAGTATTAAGGTAGCAGATGGACATTAGGCCTCTAAAGTACTCCTTCAATGTAAGAACACTTTGTTCTATCAAACTGGCGTTCCATGATGCTCACCTTCTGACACGATTGCTGAAGACAAAGCAGGCGCATAAGCAGTGTGGTAAAGAAAGCTGATGGTACCTGGCTATCAAAAGATCATACCATCTGGAGTCTTAAAGGCTTGAAGATAAACAAGCAGCCATCTAGCTGAGCAGCAACCAAGCCCACATGGAAGAAGCACACCAGCCTGTGTGATCACAACGAGGTGTCGATAGGATCAGGTATCTGGCATCAAAGAACAAAAAAATCATATCATTGTGAATGAGGGGGAGTGCAGAGTGGAGACCCAAAGCCCATCTGTAGGCAACTGGACATCCCCTTACAGAAGGGTCGTGGGACGAGATGAGCCAGTCAGGGTGTAGTATAGCACTGATGAAATATACAACTTTGCTCCTAGTGCTGTAATGTTCCCTCCCCACCACTTACCGTGACCCCAGATCCGGCTAGACCAGAGCATGTACACTGGTGCAGATAAGAGCTGGAAACACAAGGAATCCAGGACATAAACCCCTCAGGACCAATAATGAGAAAAGCAATACTAGAATGTGAAGGGGGAGGGGGGGGAAGAGGAAACTGATCACAAGGATCAATATATAACCCCCCTCCCTGGGGGACAAACAATAGAAAAGTGGGTGAAGGGAGACATCGGTCAGTGTAAGACATGAAAAATAGCTTATGAATTATCAAGGGTTCGTGAGGGAGGATGTGGGGCTGGGGAAGGAAGGCAAAAAAATGAGGAGCTGATACCAAGGGCTCAAGTAGAAAGAAAATGTTTTGAGAACGATAATGGCAACAAATGTACAAATGTGCTTGACACAATGGATGGATGTATGGATTGCGATGAGTTGTACAAGCCCCCAATAAAACAATTTTTTAAAAAAAGAGTTACCAAGTGAAGCAAAACTTGTTACAGGCACGATGAAAGATTGGTAGATTAAAAAATATTTTTGTGTTCATATTTTTCCCTATTAAACTTTAAATGCCACTGCAATATTCCTGAAGGCCCCCAATTCCACAGTATTTTAAGCTTGTCCTAGATTGATGTGATACTGTCAAAAAGCCAACATTGCTAGCCTGTGACAACAGGCGACTGCATTAACAACTGAGACTTGAGTTAGCTGCTGGATCTCCACCTCCAGGCTTAAGACTGAAGGCTGGTTTAAGATTTAAGGCTTAAGACTCATTGTATTATGTTGAATTATATATATGTGATGAAAAACGTTTCAAACAGTTCATGGAAAATAGTGTTCCCACTATTGATTGTTTACTTTTTGAAGACCCTCATTATTTTGTATAATGAAAAAGATAACGTCCAAACAAAACTTAACTCTTTTCCAGGTGGAAAGGCCAGTGCTACTGGGGCCTCTCTTACAAGGGGAACAACATCCATTCGCTTCAGCCCATTCCTACACGGAACAGCAGTGAAATACCAAGCCAGCGGATTGGGAACCCCAGCTTGGAAGCAGCACCCCACGGTTTTTCAGCGGTCATTAGCACAAGTGAAAAGGAGCCGATCAAAGCCGCCTTGCTGCGCGTGTGTGGAGATAGCATATTCCGGGCAGCCGGGGCCGGTTACAAGAGCCTGTGTGTTGTGCAGGGCCTTGTCGACGTGTACATCTTTTCGGAAGACACCACGTTCAAGTGGGACTCTTGTGCTGCTCACGCCATACTGAAGTCCATGGGCGGGGGGATGGCAGATCTAAAGGGGTGCCTGGAAAGAAACCCAGAGCTGGGGCTCGACCCGCCACAGCTGGTGTACCACGTGGCAAACGAAGGTGCCTCGGGGGTGGATCAGTGGGCCAACAAGGGGGGACTCCTGGCATACCGATCAAGGAATCAACTGGAGACGTTTCTCAGCCGCCTCATCCCAAATCTTGTACCTCACGATGTGAATACCTAGTCTGACCTCCGTGTCCACGTAAACCTAACTGAAAATAGTCCGCCCGCCCACCCCACTCTTTAGAGGGAGCTTTCCTCCATTTTGTTAGCATAATTACCAAAAAAATAAATGATATTCAAACAGCAATTAAGTGCATGCCTGAAATTCTGTGTTGCTGGTTCTGCTTGAAACACTTTAATAAATTATTGAAGAAAAGGGAAATCCCCATTAAACCTAAACATTTAATGGAAAGGTGTGAAATGTTACTGAAATGGTAGGGAGAACATAGGATTGGGGTGTGAGGTTTTTTTCCCTAGCTTGGAAGAAACACTGCAGTTTTAGCCGCTGTTGGTGGAATATTAAGAACTGTGACTTTGTTCAACTTGGCCAGAGTCAAAAAGCCTTTCTGTAAAACCGGAGAAGCCTCTATCAAATCACCATGTGGAGCCACTGTAATGTATCTGGAATCAGGTCTAGATACTTCTAGGGATGGTGGGCCCATCTCCCAAACCTCTCCCCAGAGAATTCAGTACTCCATTTAAACCGTGTCAAAACTACAGTTTGGGCATCTTCAAATCCTGCTTTTAAAATGTTTGAGTTTTAGGAACAAAGTCCGGAAGGGCAAAAATCAAGCCTTTAGGGTAAATGCACTAGGGTTTCCCCATAAAGTTCATGGAGGACAGTCCTTGTTGCTCTTGAAGAATGAACTGGCATAATATGAAGGGGGTGGGGGGAATCCCTCAGTACGACTTTCCTGGCCTTGTCTCACCATTATGGGTTTTGAATGGTAACTTTTTCATAGTAAGTCTGCATGATTGTTCTTGTCCTTTAAGGCGCTTCATCAAACTTGCTCCACCTGGAGCTTCCCACTTCCCAAATTGCGGCCATAACCTTCAAAGCTGACCCCTCTGCCTTGAGTTGACCTGACCCGGCAGATCATCTTGGAAGGTGTTTTGATTGGACCTTGTTTTCGATGACCACCCTAAAGTGTCTACTACAAGTACGTGTTGTACTGGGAGAACACTGAGAGTGTTCTGAGAGTAGACACATGTGTTAAACACATTTTGCTTAGGACAAACCTAGCAGGAATGAACTGGAACTCGTGAGCAATACTGTTGGAGAAACTTCACTTTCAGCAGTGTTGTATGTGTCTCCTCCTTATGAATGAGAATCTGGAACATGTAGGGCAACATGTATACACACACTCCTGTAGATGAGGCAAAATGGAACGCAGGAAAGCTCTATACTTTTTGCTTATTTTATGTACTTCATCAAAAAGCAGACGTGAGCGTATTTATATAATCCTTCATGTATTGGAGGAGCCCGGTGGCATAGTAGGTTACGTATTTGATGCTTCTAACCCTAAGGTAAGCAGTTCAAATGCATTAGCTGCTGCTTGGGAAAATGAGACACGCTGGTCCTGAAAAGGTTTACGGCCTTGGAAACGCACTGTTCTACTCTGTATTGATAGGGTTTCTGTGAGTCAGAATCGAATCCATGGCAGGAAGTTTCTTGTTTTCAGTTTTGACTAGCATCCCACATCCAATGTTCTCTGAGACGACTATGTGAAACCAATGGTCATTCGGTTGATTTTAACTCGAGGCAACCCCACGTGTGTTACAATAGAACATGCTTCATTGGGTTTCCCTGACTTGCGTTTTGGAAGTGTAGACTGTCAAGCCGTTCTTGACGGTGCTTCGAGTAGACTTGAACTGACAGCCTTCAGGTTAGCAACTGTATTCATTACCCATCTGCACCACCTAGTGGACCAGGGGAACCACTTTTTTATTCCTAACAGCCAGCTTCTGGTAGTGCGGTTGTCTGTCTAGTCTGACTCAAGGCGATCTGGTGGGTGGGGCTACAACTGTTCCTCTGGGTTCAACTCTATACAGCAGAGCAGACAGAACTGCTCCGGAGGGTTCCCAAGACTGTAACTCTTCACAGGAGCAGAGACCTCACCTTCCCATTGCTGAGTGGCTGACTCCAGTGAGCCCCGACGTGCTTAACCCACTATATTACCAGGGCTCCTTAAAAACAGGTGAAAACCCCACCCACTGCCATTGAGTCCATTCGGATTCTTAGCAACCCTGCATGGGGTTTCTGAGGCTGTTGATCTTTATGGGAGTAGACAGCATTATCTGTCTCCTCAGGAGCCATTACTGAATTTGAACTGTTGACCTTGTTAGCTGTCTAACACATGCGTAGGCGGGATTAAATTGGCAGCTCGGGCTTCTATCTGCTCTGCATTCCTTGGGACCAAAAGATAATTTCTACTGCATCCTCTATATTTCTACCATTAGAAACAAAATGAAAATAGTTGCTCTTTTCTGGTACGTGCTGCAGATCCAATGATTTATTTCGTGTTGTAGCTATAGTTTTTCAATATCTGTCTGCATTGTGTTCTGTGATTAACTGTGGCCTCTCTGTATGCATATTATCACCTACAATCTAATGTTTAACGGATGGCTTCTAAGTCACGTGATCTGAACCTTCACAAGTCATATTAGAAATGAAAACACAGAAACTAGCCCTATGCCTCACCGTCTCTGAATGGAGAAATAGAATATGGTTCAAGTAAAAGCATCGATTATCAGTATGAACATTGTAGAGAATGCAAATTAGCAATAAAAATATAATGAAAATAGCCATCTTTAATGTGATTTGAATGACTAGCTTGTTGATTCAAAAATAAAAGCTGGATGAACTGAGAACCCCAAAGGTTGCAAACACCCTGTGAGTTTTTATAGGACACAGATGCTGTTGATCTCATGGAAATGCTAAGTAAGGCTCTTGAAATGTGTCTGCTGATAGGTTCACATTGCTTCTCTCACTGAAGCGACTCCAGTGTGAGTAAACAAGCGGCCATCTAGCTCAGAAGAAACAAAGCCCACATGGAAGAAGCACACCAGCCTGTGTGATCACAAGGTGTTGAAGGGATCAGGTAGCAGGCAACAAAGAACAAAAAATCATATCATTGTGACTGAAGGGGAGTGCAGAATGGGGACCCAAAGCCCATCTGTAGGCAACTGGACATTCCCTTACAGAATGGTCGCAGAGAGGAGATGAGGCAGTCAGGGTGCAATGCAGCAACAATGAAACATACAACTTTCCTCTAGTTCTTTAATGCTCCCCACCCCCTCCCCACTATCATGATCCCAATTCTACCTTGCAAGTCTGGCTAGACCAGAGGATGAACACTGGTACAGATAGGAACTGGAGACACAGGGAATCCAGGACAGATAAAACCCTCAGGACAGTGGTGAGAGTGGTGATACTGGGAGGGTGGAAGGAATAAGGGGTAGAAAGGGGGAACCAATTACAAGGATCAACAGATAACCCCCTCTCCGGGGGACGGACAACAGAAAAGTGGGTGAAGGGAGATGTCGGACAGTGTAAGACATGACAAAATAATAATAATTTATAAATTATCAAGGGTTCATGAGGGAGTGGGTGGGGAGGGAGGGTGAAAATGAGGAGCTGATACCAAGGGCTCAAGTAGAAAGCAAATGTTTTGAGAATGATGATGACAAAAAATTTGCAAATGTTCTTGACATACAATGGATGGATTTATGGATTGTGATAAGAGTTGTACGAGCCCCAATAAAACAATTTTTAAAAATTCAGAATATGTTGAAAACCACATCAGGTCCATCTTACATCAGAGGGGGGATCAAATGACAAGGTTTTAACTGTTCAAGTCAGATTTTTGCCTTTGATCATCTATACTCATGTCTCCAATGCATTGTTTAGTAACCACTTTCCTCCCATCCTTCAATTGTGGATAGAGGGAATTTGTTGGAAGCTTATTTTCTGTGTAGTTCCCACCAATGTATCTTGGGCTCCCACTGTCATCCATAGCCTTTTGCAAACCAGATTCTCACAATTGAATCCCTCCTTTGATTTAGGATTATTTGATTTATAATCCTTTGGTGACTGATGATGGTGTGCTTCTTTCAGGTGAACTCAGCTGATGTGGCAGTTATATAATCTGTTGTCAATTTGAGACTATTGGGAGAGAGTTTGGAGGCGCTAATGAGATAAATACCTCACTGGAGGTGGGACACTCACTCACTCCCTAGGAGACATTCCTGTTGACAAGACACATGGAGATACGCTAGAGAGACCCCAGCCAGTCCTGAGATGCTTCCACCAACACTGGATCCACAAGACTTTTCACCCACTGGCCTATGATCTTCCTGCATTCAGTGTCATTGCATGTGTTTCATGAGTCCAAAGAGGAATTTATAGATTGGTATTGGATATATGGGCCAATATCAGACTTATGGACTTGATCTGGACTAGTCTGGAATTTTTCTCAATATACAATTACTCTTTTTTATAAAGCTCTTTATTATACACATATGAGAATTTGTTTCTCTAGTCAACCCGGACTAACAAAGCTGACATCTCAGTTAGATGGCTGCTTGTTTGGAGACAAGCCTTTAAGACCCCATGCTGAACGCCTCACGCACTTTCATGACATTCAAGCACTTGCTGTAAACACATTGTCCACCAGGTGTCTCTAGCAGATCTGCTCAAGTCCTTCTGCAACAGGAAAGGCTGATCGAGGGTGGGAGGGCTTTTAGCTGGGTTACCTCTTGCAGTGCGTGGCTTTTTAACTGGGTGACCATTTAAAAATAAAACATCCTCCTTAAACAGTTTAATCCTTTTATCATTCTTAAAACTTTCTTTTCTTTGCATACCCCTTAAAGAACCGGAAATTATGACAAAGTAAAAAGAAAAGGAAATTCAACATCTAGACATAATGACTTAACGTTTTAGCCAATCTCCCTAGAATGGTTTTGCTTTCTTTGCATAAGAGAATGAAAGTGTGAGCCACAGAGTGGGAGAAAATATTTGTAATATTTATCCAACAAAGTACCTCCTCTAGTGGTGCTGTCTGTTAAGCACTGGACTTCTAAGCACAAGGTTGGTAGTTCAAACCCGCCAGCTGCGCCACAGGAGAATAAGGTTTCTATAAAAATTTACAGCCTCAGAAACCTTACATAAGATCAATATGAGTCCAAATCAACTCCATGGCAGAGGCGTGGCTTGGCTATCTAATGAAGAAGTGCATCCAGAAGATATAAAGAACTTCAACAGGACTAAGAAGGTGCAGTGCAAGGGTCCCACGAGGGAATCACTGA